CTGACCTCAACCATCTCCTGTTGTTGAAAGATGTGTTTGATGAGATAGGTAGCTGTATTAGCAAGAATGTTTCCATATTATATCATGAACAGCTTCAACATCTGAGAGATAGGCATGGCTAAATGAACCATGATTTACCATCTTGTTACAAAATCATGTAACATGTAAAAGATACACCAAAAGATTTTAATGTAACACAGTACCAACATTTCATTGATGGAATTTCAGATCCCTCACTGCAAGTGACTTTTATGAAATGATCACTTATTGAATTTGGATAAAACATCAAGAAAAGATGATTGAAATACCCCTTCTTTACTATAGTTGCCAATCTGAGGGTGGTTGTATTTCCTTCCCATTCTTAAATCTAAGCAACATATTGGAAGAGATTAAATGAAGAAGCATATATGAGAATCTGGCTGTCTTGTGGAGTCCTGGTATAGCATTGTAGGATAAACACTCTTACTGAAAGGTTGGCTTGAACCACAAGATTGGCAGTTCAAACTCAGCAGCTGCACCTTGGAAACCCTGTACAGGGTTACTATGGGTTGAAACCTACTTGATGACACTCAACAACATTTGCTACTATGGGTTGAAACCTACTTGATGACACTCAACAACATTTGCCTTGTACCCTAGTGAGGTGCTGTAGGATCAGCACTAGACTGCTAACTGTGAAGTTGGTGGTTCAAACATGCAGCCATTCTTGGAAACCTTACAATGGCTTGTTACGAGTCAGAACTGACTTGACAGGCATACAACAACAATAACAAATTGTCTTATTCGATCCAGACATGAAGACATATGAGAAATATGTGTGAAATGATGGTGCTCTTCTCATTTTTACTTTATTATAAAAGTAAAATAATACTAATTTTATTATTATGAGTTTGTCTTCATAAACTTGTGCATGAACATATGACTTCAGCCTCATTTTAAAATTTGGGGATCGCATTTTTTTTTTTTTTAAGTTGTAAAGGGACCATGAGACCAAAAAGTTTGAAAATCACTGTTGTACAAGGAGTTAATGGTATCTTTTAATAATTTGGGAAACCATGGCATCTGAGGGGAAGTAAGTTACCTGGGCAACAAACATAAGTGGTAGAGCTGGGATTTGAACTTTTTTTCTACAACTGTAATATATTTGTAAGAGTGCTTCTGTTTGAGTATCAGCCTCTCATAGATACATATCGTTGAAAAAGGGAGGCATGTTTTAATAGCCTTTTCAGGTAATTGCAAATAATCTTCTTGAAATTAAGAAACAATTATGGTTTCTAACTTTGCTAACTTCAATAGGCCTTGTCTGTTTGAACTTGGTTGTTCGAAAGCTGCAATTTTCTTGCTCTAAAATTAAATCCCCACCATTTAGGTATCTTTTACAACCCATTTTTTATGTCAATAAATATGTGCCCTAAACTTGCAGCAAGCATTAGATGAAGATAAACCACACCTGAGTTTCTTTCTTTGCTTGGATCTTCTTGCTTTTTATTTGATCGGAGCTGAATTTTAAAGATTATTTGAAAGAATATTTGCAAGAAATATTGTATCATATTCAGGAGCAATGTTGGTTATTTCTCATAACTTTTATTTTGACTGGTTGGTAGCTTTCATTACAAACCACAGAAATGACAATGTAGTGGATTTTTCTTTGGAAACAAAATATCAGAGAATAGAAAGCTTATTTAAGTTTGTAGAAATAAGGAAATTGCTTTTGTCCCATTGCCTCTTCTTATTATTAATTTATATGCTGAAATAGATTAGTGCAGTGCAGGATGAAATGATTATATAAATACAACCATTTATGTTTCTGGAGTTCTAGTGTGGTGGTGTAAGATGAGCACTGGACTGCCAGCCACTCCTTGGAAACCCTACACAGAGTCACTTGAGCTGGAACCAACTCAATGGCACATAGCGACAACAACAATTTGTGTTTCTTCCATTCCTATCGCTGGCTTGATTGAAATAATTCTGGAGATTGCATGATAGAAATTTGTAAGCCCAATGGCTTATTAATTGTGTATACCTTTTTACAGCAATGTACATGTTGACCTCACTGGTTGAAATTCAGAGGAATCAAACTGACTGTATCTGTGTAAAGAGATGATGGAGAAGCTCAGTATCATCAGGCAGAATAAGACCAGGACCCAACTACAGAAAACATCACCAATTGCTTAAATGCAAATTCAGTTTGAAGCTGAAAAACATTTAAAACAACTTCCTTAGAGCTGAAGGATCTGGAGTACATATCGCACGAATGTATTTGACACACTGAACACCAATGCTTGAAGACTGAATGAGCTTTGGGATGACATCAAAAACATCACACATGAAAAAAGAGTCATTAAAAAGAGAGGGGAAAAGAAGAAAAGAGCAAAATGAATGTCAGAAGTGATTCTGAAACTTGCTATAGTGTGGAGAGAAGCTAAAATGAATAGAAGAAATATGAACTAAAGGAGCTGAACAAAAGTTTCCAAAGGCAACTTGAGAAGGCAGAGTCAAGAATTAACAACTAAATTTACGAAGTCCTAGAGTTAGGAAACCAAAAGTGATGAACGTGCTTGGCTTCTCTCAGCCTTGAGTTGCAATACTGAATGATTCTGAGTGCAAAATAGTGAATGAGTCAGGAAGCAGCAAGAGACAATGGAAAGAACTCACAGAGTCTGTGTACTCAAAAGAACTGAACAGCGTTCAACCATGTCAGGAGGTAGCACATGATCAACAACTGATGGTATTGAAGGAAGACGTCAAAGAAGGCATTGGTGAAAAACTAGGCTGTAGGAACAGTAATTTCTAGGAAAAATAATGGGCTCAAGCATGGCAGCAATTGTGAGGTTGGACCAGGATCAGGTATTATTTCCTTGGAAATAAAGTATCATTTGGAACCTGTACATAGACCAAGATGCAATTCAAAATTTACTACATGATTTAAGGTCAAGAAAGATGTGTGCCAGGGTTGTGTCCTCTCGCCATACAATTCCACCTGTATACTGCACAAATAATCCAAGAGGCTGCTGAGCTATAAGAAGAAAAATTATAGGATGACTCTTGAATAAACTGCAATATGCAGATGACACAACTTGCTTGCTGAAAATGAAGAAAATTTGAAGTATTTACTGATGCAGATCAAAGAATACAGCCTTCAGTGTGGATTACAGCTCAACATAAAACAAAAATCCTCACAACTGGACCAGGAAGTGATATGACCATGATCAATGGAGAAAAGATTGTGAAGTTGTCAAAGAGTTCACCTTACTTGGATCAATAATCAATGCCCATGGGAGCAACAGTGAAGAAATCAAACAATGTGTAGCATTGGCCAAATCTGCTGCAAAAGTCCTCTTTACAGTATTGAAAAGCAAAGATAATCTCTTTGAGGACTAAGGTGCACTTGATCTAAGTCAAAGTATTTTCAGTTGCTTCATAACCATGAAACTTGCGACATTTCAAGTCATAGTGTATAGATTGGCATGCTTTGCAGTGTTTTGTCTGGGTTTGAATCATGGGTAACCTCAAACAAGCTACTTAAATTCTCTGTGCCTCTTTTTACCCATCTGTGGAGTGGACATTATAATTACATGTATTTCATAGGGCTTTGGTGGGAATTTGGGGATTAAGTGAGACTTAAATGCTGTGGGCTAATGCATCAGGCTGTAAATTTGTTTGAACTGTAAGGTTGGTGGTTCAAGTTCACCAGCTGCTCCTTGGAAACTGTATATGGGGTCGCTGTGGTTTGGAATAGACTCAACGGCTCTTAACAACAACAACAATACACATAAAGCACTCACCATTTCTTGCACATGGTGGCGGTGATGGTGGTTGTGTGCCATGGAGTCAGTTCTGACTTACAGTGATTGTATATAAAGTTTCTGAGACTGTAAATCTTTATGGGAGCAGAAAGTGTCATCTTTCTCCCATAGAGCAGTGAGTAGATTCGAACAGTTGACCTTATGGTTAGCAGCTCAGCTCGTATCCTACTACACTACCAAAGTTCCATCCCACATAGTAAAAGCTCAATAAATACTAACTGATGCTGGGCAGTGTTTCGTTCTGTTGTGCATGGGGTCACTATGAGCCAGAACTTACTGGATGGCACCTAATAACAACAACAACGCTGCTATTTGTATTGTTATTATTGTTATATATATTCATTCAAAGATACTTATTCAAGGTCTTCATTGAATTTTTTCTACAGTTGTTGTTGGTGTTAAGTGCCGTCGAGTTAATTTCGACCCATAGTGACCCTATATAGGGTTTCCAAGGAGTCACTGGTGAGCTTGAACCGCCAACCTTGCAGTTCAAACGACTTTCCAGTCTGACGTATTAGACCACAGTAGAACTTTGGAAATGATTAAGTAAGGGGATGTATGAGACGGGCTTCACAAAATTCATGAAAAAGTGAGATGAAAAGAATGGAATATTTCCACGAACTTTTTGAATTCCCCTCTTGCAAGGTGCAATTAATAAAAAAAATAAATTTAGAATCTGAAAAATGCAGTGGATAACCACAGTAATTTGTGAGAGACCCTAGGTAAATGGTTAAGGAGCTCTGCTTTGAACCAGAAGCTTGGGGTTTGAACCTACCCATAGGTGCCATGGAAAAAACGCTTAGAGGTCTTCTTAAAAATTAATGATTGAAAACCCTACAGAGCGCAACTCTACTCTGACATACCTAGAGATGACAGTAATTGGGATCTACTCAGTGGATGTTGTTTTTGTGTGTGGTCTTTATTTTTTAATGGCTGGTTAGCGAGGATTGATGGTGAGGGATGTGGGGCTATAGTCACCCTGAATAATGAGACTAGTCCCAGATGCAGGGAGCTAGGGAATAGCTGCCTAGGTCAAGGGAACAGCCTGACCAATTGCCTTGTGATAGGGAAGCATTTAGTCTGCTTTCAAATGTAAGCAAGTTAAGCCAGAATTAATTGTACCTGGATACAACTTAGATACACCTGTCAGCTGGAGCTAGCATTGTTTCTTCAGCTTTTTGGAACGTTATCCAGATGTTACAGACATCTCGGGGTCAAGGATTCCTTACCAGTTAATTGCGTAAAGTAGGCATCCATTCTACTGTTTTTTAAAAATGAAGTTTGTTTGAACAATGAGTTTGTTAATTGGATGAATGCTGGTCTCATTCATGCTTCCTTCACTCTGTTTTCTGTTTGGACTCTTCCAGATGACGTTGCACCCTATTTTAAGACGGAGCCTGGCCTGCCTCAGATCCACCTGGAGGGGAACCGCCTTGTTCTCACTTGTCTTGCTGAAGGGAGCTGGCCTTTGGAATTCCAGTGGATGCATAATGACAGGGAACTCACCACCTACACCAGCGAATACAAGTAATTGATGTCGTGAAAATACGATTCCTTTTCAAGCTGATGTTTAGAATAGTCGGCGTGGCCTTCCTCACAGTACATAGGGTGAACTCATGGGATTGAATTCCTAATGCATAGAGGGTGAAAGGAGCAGAAGAGAAGCTGTAATTAGAGTATGATTCACAATTCTGCTACAGGTTGTATTTACAACCTGGGAAGTCTATCATTATATTTGTAAAAGCAAGGCATAAAAGAGCTATAGTTACACAGGACTGCAAATAACAGCTTTCACAGGGTGGATCTGCTCTCTTGGGGCAACAGCTCCACCCACCAGTTCTGTTGATCTGGAGCAAGCAGACCTGTGGAAGCACAGAACTGGACGTCTTAGCCTGCAGAGTCCTGAGTCTCCAACAAGAAACGTGCCTAGTTGTGTTGTAGAGTTGGGCTAGGAGAAGATAGAGCCTCGAAAGAAGGGAAATGATCAGACCTTGTGCATTCAGAGGGAGAAACCAATTCTTATTGGCTCCTACTCTGTAACAGGCAATAGGGGGCAGGATACAGGATTGAGATCAGATCTGGAGCTGCAAAATACCCTGAGGCTTGTGTCCGTGTAAAGAGTATATCATTTTTTAGATCCTGATGTGTGCTGTGGGATAAAGCACTGGACCACAAGGTCAATTTGAACCAGAAAATCAGCAGTTCAAACTCATCAGCCACTCCTTGGAAACCCTATGCTATGAGTCGGAACTGACTCAACGTCACTTCACGACAACAACAAAGGATAGAAAGAGCCTTGGTGGTGCAGTGGGTTAAGCATTGGGCAGTTAAAGTAAAGGCAGACAGTTCAAACCCACCAGCCACTCAAAGTACTAAAGATGAGGCAGTCTGATCCCTTATAAAATGTACAGCTTTGGAAACCCTATTGGGCTGTTTTATTCTGATCTCTAGAGTTGCAATGAGCTGAAATTGACTTGACAACAGTGGGCTTTTTTTTTTTTTTTAAGGTTTGGGTTTTATTCTCTAGTGGATTGCGAGCTGGGCTACTAACTGCTAGGTCCGTAGTTCGAATATACCAGTTGCTCCTCAGGAGAAAAATGAGTTTTTCTGCAAAGAAACCTTATACAGGGTTGCTGTGAGTTTGCACCAACTTGGTGGCACACAACCAATCATCCAGCCAACCAAGTGCTCATATAACAACAGCAGTAACAAAAGGAGGCGGTGGCTTTAGCAAATGGAAATGTATTTTCACACAATTTAGGAGGCTAGCAGTCTGGATTTAGAGTGCCACCTGTAGGGAAAGGCTGTCAATTCTGAGAAAAGGTCCTTGTCTCTTTTCAACATCTAAAGGTCTGATGTCACCTAGAGATGTCCACATGTCTTTGAATTAATATTCCCCTGGGTCTCGGAGGTTCTCAGCACAGGTACCCTGTGTCCAAAGGACATGCTTTGCTCTAGGCTCTTCTTTCTTGTTGGTCTCTCTCCAGAGTGGGATTTACACAACCCAGAGAGTGTCTCTCAGAACTGGAGAACAGGGCTACCACATGGCCGGGATGGACCAGACCCAGGGTTGGTGATTAGTGAGCCCGGACACCCTGTCTCTATGCCACACTCTTCCCACACAGACTCCCCTGTTTCTCTGTCTCCACGGCACCAGATTGGTAGCTTTTTCAGTCTGGAACTTGTCCTTACTACAGAAATCTGCCATGGTCAAAGTTCCTGTCACCTGAGATGAGCTCACTCTTCAGGCCAGGCCAGGGCTCCAGCCCTCGTAATGCTAGTCATAGCTGGAACAGAAACATCTGTGTGCTCCTTCACCATGTCCACTGAGGACAGGCAGCTGACCCTGCAAGAGCCCCGGGGCCCTGAGAGGCAGAGCAAGGAGGGAGTCACCCTGACTAGTGAGCTCCTCAGCCCATCATGGCTGACGGGGCCTTTCTGAGGGTCTCTCAGGCTCAGGGTCCTGAGAGTCTGGGTTCTCAGGCTCTGGGCAGGGTTTTTGGCTGCCTGGACAGCCCTCTCGCAGCATACTGGTAAACCCTAGTGTCTAAGTTCTCTGTTGTTGCTTTAACAGAAATGCCACAAGTAGAGAGCATGAACAAAGTTGTCAGGTGTTGTCGAGTCAGTTCTGCTCATAGTGACCCTATGCTCAGCAGACTGAAACACTGCCTTGTCCTGCACCACCCTTACAGTGGTTGTTATGTTCGACCCCATTGCTGCTGCCACTGTGTCAGCCCATCTCATTGGGGGTCTTCGTCTTTTTCACTAACTCTCCACTTTACCAAGCATGATGTCCTTCACCAGGAACTGGTCCCTCATGAGCACATGAGAAAAAAAAGTCTCATTATCCTTGATTCCAAGAAGTCCTGATGGACTTTTTCCAAAACAGATGGCTTTGTTTTTCTGGCAGCCTTGGCACTTCTTTGTCAATAACTTAACCTTAATTCAAGTGCCTCAGTTTTTTCTCTGGTCTTTCTTATTCATTGTCCAGCTTTCACATACATATGAAGCAGTTGAAAATTCCTTGATTTGGGTGTGGTGCACCTTAGTCCTCAATTGATATCTTTGCTTTTGAGCACTTTAAAGAGGTCTTGTGTAGCAGATTTGCCTAATGTAATTTGCCATTTGATTTCATGAGTGCTGATTGTAGATCCAAGCAAAGTAAAGAGTCTGACAACTCCAGACTTTTCTCCATTTATCCTAATATTATTTATTGGCCCAGTTGTGTGGATTTTTATTTTGTTTACATTGAGTTGCAATCCATACTGAAGGTTATCGTCTTTGATCTTCATGAGTAAGTACTGCAAGTTCTCTTTTCTTCCAACAAGCAAGGTTGTATCATCTGCATATCATAGATTGTTGATGAGTTTTCCTCCAGTCCTCATGCCAAGTTCTTCTTCATATAACCCAGTTTCTTGGATTACTTGCTCAATATACAGATCGAATAAGTATGGTGAAAGGATGCAACCCTGGTGCAGACCTTTCCTGATTTTAAATCATTCAATATTCCTTTATTTCATTTTAAAAAACTAGGAGGGTAGAAGGCGAAATTCAGAGCACTTGCTCTAGGCTAAGGATTTCTCTGTCTCCAGGCTCTGGGGGCAGGTTCTTATCTCTTCAGCTTTTGCTTCCTGGTTCCTTGAAGAGCTCATGGGCCTTGGCATCTTTCTTCTGCTCAGCTCCCTTGGTTCATTTCTTTTATATCTGGAGAAAGATAGGCTGAAGACAAAGCAAGCCTGCCTCTTCGCATAACAAAGACAACTCATTCCCAAAAGGGATTATAACCTCAGCCATGGAGATTAAGAATTATAATACATATTTTGGGGGGATATAATTCAATCCTTAGCACCTTCCTTTTGTGGTTAATTCCCATTCAATTCTGTCTTATTTTAATGATGAAAACTTGCCATTCGGTGAAACAATGTAATTGAAAAAAATTGTCACTTCCATCTCATTATGAGATATATTTTCATTCTAATTTGTTAATGTTTAATAAGTGATTTTCAACATTTATAAAACATTTATGTTGCTTTGATCAACTCTGTGATACTATTTGTAATTAATTTACAATTCAGAAGATTTTTTTTTAACCCTTAGAACCTTATAGTCAAAGTATGTTCTTTAAAAGTTCAATCTATCCATTTTTTATTTCAGAGAAGTATGAGAGCTAATGAAAAAGTTTTTCAGGTCTAAAAACATGTTATATTAAAATAAAATTCTGTGGGGGTAAATAGATTTGATAGCAAGTTCAAAGGGTAAGAAAAAACAATATGAAAGTTCTGTTACAAAAAGAACTGATCGGTAATGGATAATGAATTTCTTCAGGCAAAGTATCAAGATAATTTATATATTATATATGTGTGTGTATACACACACACAACACACACATAAAAAATGTATATGTGGAGCCTTGGTGTGGTGCTGTGGATTAATGTAGTGGACTGCAAAGTTGGTTTGCAAGGTAAGCAGTTCAAGTGCACCAGCTGCTCCTTGGAAGCCCTATATAGGGTTGCTATGGGTCGGAACTGACTCTATGGCCCTTAACAACAACAGCAATGTATAGTTGGGTGGATCCTGGTGTGGCACAGTAAAATAAGCAATGTACTGATAAATACAAGGTTGGTGCTTCAAACCTGTCAACTACTCCTTGGACACGCTATACAGACTCACTATGAGTTGGAACCAACTCTACAGCACTTAACACCAACAACATAAACAACACACACAGGGTGGGGTGACTTCAAAATATTTGTAGACAATTAAATTGAAAGAGAAGTTTTCTACAAATTTTTTGAAGCTCCTACATTTGTATTTTAATTTGTGGATATCAAAATCAGTTTATTATTCAGATTTCATTGGCAGAACTTAAAAGATCAGTATGAAAGTTTTATTTCTAAATGCCAAAATATGCAATATGCCATTATTAAATATGCAACTATTTATACTTGCAATAAAACAAATTAGCTTACATTAATTATATTTACAGTAAAAAAATTGATACTTACCAAAAATAATATTTAAAAATAGCAATGGAATTCTTTTTGCACTGCTCTTTTGGCATTATAGGATAAGCACTGCACTGTGAGCCGCCAGGTCAGTGATCCAAACGCACCAGCAGTTCCCCAGGAGAAAAACGAGGCTTTCTGTTCCTGTAAAGATTTTACAGCTTTTGAAACCCTGTGTCAGGTTGCTATGAGTTGGAATCTGTTCAGTGGTTTATTGTCTTTTGATTGTTTCTACTACTAAATTTACTTGTTAGCTTGAAATATGTCATGGATCATTTTTGGTTGTCTTAGAGTTAGACTAATAAAATGCCTCAAAGATGAGATATTATAATAAAGCAATTGCTTTGCTAGTGTTTCCACAGGGGGAAAGATCATGAGAAACGGGGTTGTTCTGAAACCAGCGTGGTTTGGGGTTGACATGCTGAGTGATGTTCTGCTAAATGAGGGCTTCAGACACAGATACATGTGCGGTCTTAGGGACCCATCATACTTTGTCATCCTTTTTTTTTCAAGATACAAAAC